TTTGAACAGGCCAAATATAAAGTTTTACTTTTTCCCTCAGCGTGTTAAATTCAGCAAATAAGACACGTTATATTTTATTAATATAAAGTTCGACATTCTGTATCTTATTTCAATTTGTTGTGATCCATGTTGTCAGCTAGTTTAGTAGGATAGCCAGTGCTGACTCAGCATGCAACTCTGATTCCTGTTGATTGATATAAATAAATAAATATATTTCTGAAAATAAATATATGTAAAATGTATTAAAAATGGCCAAATACTTATTTTTGCTTCATGTGCTTAAGTGTTTGAAATGTATTTTGAAAAAAAAAAAACAATATATTTGAAATGTACCTCATGTACATATAAAGAAATAAATGTCCATATATATTTACTGTATGGTTTGTTTCTGAGTTTCTAGGCATCCTACTTTATACTCACTATCCTATTGAACAAGTATAGAGAGAGTTTTTCAAACGGAACTCACTTTCACTCAGCTATGTAAGCTTCATTGAGCTTATTGGCTGGCCATGCAAACTTTGCAATGCAAAACCTTTTATGAGAACTTTGAGAAGTGAATATTTGTGAATAGTTGCTTTGTCTTGCCATAAACTTTATGTAGACCTGTGTTGTAGTACCTTTCTTTTTATTCTTTTCAGCTGTGTAGCCTTTAGCATGATAACTAGCTCTTGTAAGCTCTTGTAAATGACGCTGCCATTGATTTTGAAAATCGCTGGAAGTATTGAATCCAACCAAATGCAACATTTTCAAAAAGTCAACAGTGACTTTTAAGAAGAACCCACCTCCTCCTACACCCCTTTACCTGTCCGGACAACAGCTACCAACTTGCAAAATTATCAAGGTAATTGGAGTTTTGATTCAGTCAGATTTACAATCACACATATGCTATTGTAAAGAAAGCAAATACCAGACCTCATTTCTTGAGAAGATTAAGAAGAACGGGAGTGTCAATCTCTGACCTAACTTTGACATACACTGGTTATATTCACCCCATTTTACAGTACGCCTGCCCTAGCATGGCATGGAAACCTGGCACAGTATCTGTCGAACCAGACTGAGACCGTCCAGAAACGTGCATGCCAAATCATCATCGGCAGGGCTTATTCTACGTACCAAGAGGCCCTTCAAGTTTTTGGATTACCAAGCCTTAAAGAGAGAAGAGACATATTGTGTAGACGGTTTGCCTTTAGTCTCTTGAACTCCTCTTTCAGAGAGTGGCTACCACCTTCAAGAGCCCAGATATCAGGTTGGAAAACCAGAGACAGTAACAAACTACAGGTTCCAAAAATGAGAACTGATAGGTTCCAGAAGTCACCCATTCCTTTTTTTTTTACAAGAATATTAAATAAATACTTATAGAATGGTTTGCAAGGTGTACATTGTCTTATTTATGTATTTTATTATTTTTTCTTTTCTTTTATAAATGTGTAAGTGAGCATTGTAAATACTGATGTATTTCAGTTTCATTAATTCAGCAAAATGAGTGTGGAATAAAAATTCAAAAATTCAGTTCAACCAGCTAGCTAACAAGTAAATAAAGCTGTATCTGCAAACATGTAGACAAGATGGAGTTGTGTGCAACCTAAAGCCCAGCAAATCAAATGTTATGGTTTTGAAATAAACATTTTAAAGTAGTTTACTGCTGTGGCTTATAAATGTCTTTTTTCCCCTAATTTTTTAGGGGTGATGATTTGCCTGTGCAAAAAAACATGCTGGACAAAGCTGGTTTATGCTGGTCTGGTGTTGGTTTAGCTGGTAACCCAGCCTGGTCATGCTAATTAACCAGCACACCAGCGTCAAAAATACAGCATATGTTGATTTTAGTGGTGACCAGAACAACAGCTTCCATTGCTGCTGACCAGCATACCAGCAATCAAAACAAAACATATGCTGGTTTTGCAGGTGGCCTATCCAAAAAGTTCTTCTGCCAAAGTTGACTTTTGTGTTCACTTGGTTCCTCGTCCATCTAGCACACTTTATTTGAGCTAATAAAGGAATGGAACAGCCCTTAAGATGGCATTTGGGATTCCTCTGAGGGGAAATGGTGAGGCAAATTGGATGAGGGCTTGTTAAAGCTGGTACTGAAATGGACGGCATGTGCTGTAGGTCCTCGATACTTTCTTAGTTTTTCTGAACTTCTACAAAGACCCTCTCACCGTCATCATTTTGTGTTAATTTAAAAGAAAGCTGCTGTAATGCATAAGAACTGTAATACAGTATGTGTGACTCAGAGCTTTCAGAAGTCGAGGCTTTGAAGAGCAGAGTCTCTGCAGTGCAGTCAGAGCGCAGCTCCTCCGTCTGCGGATGAGGATAAAGCTCGGGCTCGTAGGTGTTGCTGTTTTATTTGTTTGCTACGCTCTGCGTGACACAACCAGGGGAGAGTTTTCCTGCTCCTCTTCATTATGACTTTGCTTTGATATTGGGGCTTCTTAGCGAAGGCCTGAAGTCTTCCATTACTGCGAGTCATCGCTGCCTCGCACCATGCCAACAGGCTGCAGTGTCAGGAAGGCCTAAGCCAGGATTCTTTTGGATAGAGTGTTTTTATTGCCTTCAGCAGCAGAAATGTTCCCGTCCTCATTCCGATTGTTTTTCTCTCTTATTTTGATTATTTGCCTCCACAGCAAGCAAGAGAAAAAAAGTAGGAAACAACCAGGGCATGGAAATGTGATTTCTCTCTGAACACTTCCAACAAGAGTGTAAAGGAGAGATAGCCTTATGTGTGCTTGTTTGAGTGCATGTCTCAAGCATATGCATTCATTGTCTGTCATCATTGAGGGTCTAACCTGACTTATGTCCATCTTTTCAATTGTTCCTAGACATGTTTTGAGCACTGGACTATTTTACAGCGCTTTTATACCATCAATCTGTTATATCCAAACCCCTCCTTTTACCAGTATCTTCTTTAGGGTGGACAATATGGCGAAAAATATAATATCATAATACTTGAAGGTATTTTCATCATGCATGATAAGCTCCCCATTAGTCACCTTGCACGTTTAAGGTGGTAGTAACTTCAGGCTTCTGCAGATGGTGTTGCATGAGGATGATCAGGGTTCATAGATTGAGAAGAAGTGGTGCAGTGCAGTGAATGTCTCGTTTGATGTGTGGAAAATGGATTGCAAAGCAGATGTTAATGATTAGCAAAAAGCAGTGATTGTATTTGGGTGTGCCAAAGGCCGTAGTGTGAAGGAAGTAGATGGATTTACAGGTGTATCAAAGCACACGGTCATACGGGTCGACCAGCAGTGGCAAAAATCCCAGACTACAGGAAATTCTCATCAGAATTGTGGCCGAAAGATGAAACTGATGGGTAGGGACCACTGGCGTGTTTCATGGCTTGCAAATTAACTTCCAGTCAAGAATTGCTTGTAGAAGTCAATGCAGGTCCTTCACAACCAATTTCTGAAAGAACACTCCGCAGGGAACTGCATTCCCTGGTGAGCTTATACATATCACTATATTTAATTTCTCTGATGTTTCCTGATAAGTTGGAACAAACGCAGTGCACAAGCGTTGCCACTAGGGCCGTGAAAATAAATTTCAACATTCAAAAAATTAAGTGTTTCACCTCTCAATTATATGGAACTCACCTACTGATTAAAATTAGGTCTTCCAAAAGGAAAGCAGCCACTGTATCTTAGACTGAGAAAACTGAGAAAAACATTGATGAACCGAAACAAAGAAAACACAGGAGGGAGTAGTATGCCCTGGCTTTTATGTATGTGGGAATTGAAAATGAGCAACTGCTGCTCGGTGCTATTTGCTCAAAGGTTTCTTTTCAAATGAAGCTTTGAAACCCAACAATTTACACCATCACTTGAAAGTCCATTTGCAGCTTTCCTTTCTTCAGTTCAGCACTCAGTAGCTGCCAAACAAAATCAGCTATCTCATTAGGCTAGTCAGAAAAATTACCTGATCAGTGAAACCTTGTGGGCTGCGGAAGCTATTGTGGTTGTTTGTGTGGGCTGCAAGTTGCAAAAGGTTGGAAACTCCTGATGTAGAGAAAGGATTGATTTATTCTGTTTGAAGGTTTTGATGATATGCAATAATGAGAGAAAAAGCTCTGTTTCAGTTACCTCAGATGGAGGCATCGCACTCGGCTGGTCTCAAGAACAATATTTCAGTTCACCATAACCCGGCACAAGAGTCCAGAGACAAATCCAAATGTGGAGACGCTTGAGTATTACAACACTAGTAGTGTGTCTTCTTACTTATTTTCTTTGCAAAGTAATGTATGATTACAAATAATAATACTATATTCAAAATTAGAATATACGAATATTTGACAAGGTGAAAATGAAAAAAAAAATAGTACAATAATTTCATTTGCTCAGTATTTCACATAGTCCAAACCACTACATCCACGTACATCCAGTTATGTTCTCCTGGACAACAGGGCAACAGGGCAACTTTAACCAGCTAAGCCAATTGAGAGCCTCACCTCAATCACTTTTTTTAAACTCTTTTCAAACGTCTGTTTGTGTTATTTAATGCTGGACTACATCTTTTTTTGGTTAAAACTGTAAGAAGTAGCATTACTGAGAGGTCTACAAATCCCCAAATCTTACCTAGTTCAGCTTTAAAGCACCCACAATATGCTCAGAAAGCTCATCATGACATAATTAACCTTGATTTTCATATCACAATGATGTCATATCATCATATCATCCACCTCAATCCAATAGCAGAAATGTTTTTGTCCACTTGTCCGTTTAAAAATGCCTTCCACTTACAATGACCATTTAACTTGTGCATTCTTTTCCCCTCTTCAGCACCTGGCGATCCTCCTCTGACTCCACTTTTCCTCCCACTGCTGTTCCATTAGTGCTGAGAGGTTAATTTTAGCGCCTCTGTATCTCCACACGCCATCTGTGCTCGCCAATTAGAAATTAGCCCGGGCTGCTGGTGCTGCCAGGGGGGGCCTGATAGGCTGGGTGATGGCCCTCGCTCTGATTCCTCTTTTATTTATGTCCTCTAGGAGTAGCAGCCTTGGGCCTGAGGAGGATGGGCTTGCTGCTGGTGACGGAGATTACAGAAACGCAGCACAGGAGCACTGAATAGGTAAGCTGATTGGATTAAAGGCTGGAGTTTTTCAATAAAGTTGAACTCAGAGACATTTTTGAAAGTAGGGTGGTATCCAAAGTCAAATTTGAGGCAAATTAACTCTTTGATGTTGCAGCAGGTGATAAAAAAGTAGTCCAGTAGTCCAACCTGCTGTCTTGAAAAGAACTCAGTGCTGTGTACAGCAGCAACACTCACAAATCTCACCTTCACCAATCAGAACCCAGGCAGACCTTAGACCTTAGAAGTCACAGTTATAATATAATAACAAAAGCTATTTACATACACAGCACATTTGCGTCTGATAGTAGTAGTGAAGACATTTTGATTTGAATTTGCAGCGTGTATAGTTTTGTTTTATGGAAAGAAAAGCTGTCCTCTAGTTTTTACTTTGTGTTTGTCATTTGTTGACATTAAAACAAATGGAAAAAATAGGATGTGTAGACTTAAATACATGAATACGGAATGTCAATGGAATATAAATGCAACTCAGTGTAATACTGTATAATTACTAGGTAATACTGGTATACAGTGCAATGGTATTACCTTACTTATTACTATCTTGCTATACCTTTGATTTAAGTAAGAGAGTAATAGGTAAGGCTGGGAAACAACAGGTAATCCCACTGTTTGAAAGAACCATTGCCTGGAAGATCTAATCCTGGACGCTTCAGAGATTTTAATGAATAGTCAACCTTCCACATCCCCCGAACTTCTGTTGTGATTTGTAATGAGCTGCTTCACCGAAACCCCTGCAAAACTCTGAAGCTGCTCTTTAAAAAGTGGAACACAGCAGTAGTTGATTTCAAGTGTTTTTGAGGTCTGAATTGATGCAAATTATTGATTTTGCTCCTCGAATCTATTTATTTTGCTCGAGTTTTTATGTGACTTGAATAAAAGCAATTTAATTGCTTGTTAAAATATGAAGTTTCTTTTTTAAGTTGAACTGACAAACAATTTTTTTTACAGTTTGTTTCTGTAGGCAATCCTGCCGTCTTCTTCCCCACCCTGTTGTCATATCTAACATCCAGTATATGTCCCTTACAATTAGCAGATCCTCTAGATCCTTTTTTCTGCCTGATGTCTGGGAGACTCTGTGCTATCGATCACTGGCATATCTCCCAGATCTTTCCTCTGTATGATCCCAGTGCCTGTGGGATCTGTTTTATCTTATTTGTAAACTTGTCCTACTTGTATCCTAACTGCACTATCTGGTGTGGCCTAGAGAAAGATGGCTTCTCCTTTTGAGTGTTGGATCCTCTTAGTGTCTCTTCTTCAGGCGGTTAGGGAGCTTTTCCTTTTGAGTCTTGGTTCCTCTCCGTGGTTCTTCTGCATGATCTTATGGAGTTTTTCTTTTTGAGTCATGGTTTCTCTTGGTGGTTCTTCCTTATACTCTTACAGAGTTCTTCCTTTGGAGTCTTGGTTCCTCACAGTGGTTCTTCCTCATACTCCTAGAGAGTTAAAAAAAAAGTTTTTTCTTTTGAGTCTGTGTTCCTCACAGTGGTTCTTCATGCTTTTAAAGAGTTCATCCTTTTGAACCTTGCTTCTTTTTCATGGTCTTACAAGGTTTTTTTCTTTAAAGTCTTGGTTCCTCTTGTGATTCTTTCTCATACTCTTAGAGAGTTCTTCATTTTGAGTCTTGGTTCCTCAAAATGGTTCTTCTTCATGGTCTAGGAGAGTTTATCCTTTTGAATCTTGGTTCTACTTAGTGGTTCTTCCACATGCTCTTAGAGAATTTATGCTTTGAGTCTTGGTTCCTCCCAGTGGTTCTTCCTCTTGTGCTTTTGTAGTTTTTCTTTTGAGGATTTATATTTCTCTTAGTGTTTCTTCCTCATGCTCTTAGAAGGTTTATCCTTTTGGGTCTTGGTTCCTCACACTGGTTCTTTCTCATGATCCTATTGATTTTTTTTTTGAGTCTTAGTGTCTCTTAATGGTTCTTCTTCATACACTTGGAGAGTTTTTTCTTTTGAGTTTTGATTCCTCACAGTGGTTCTTCCTCATGCTTTTAGAGAGTTTATGCGTTTTGAGCCTTGGTTCCTTGCAGTGGTTCTTCCTCATGATTTTATAGAGTTTTCAATTTTGAGTCTTGGGTTCTATTAGTGGGTCTTCTTCATACTCTCAGAGTGTTCTTTCTTTTGAGCCTTGGTTCTTTGCAGTGGTTCTTCGTCATGGTCTTAGAGAGTTTATCATTTTGAGCCCTGCTGCTCATGCTCTCATGAAGTTTTTCCCTTTGATGCTTTGTTCTTCTCAGTGTTTCTTGCTCATGCTTTAAGGGAGTTTATACTTTTGAGTCTTGGTTCTACTCCGTGGTTCTTCCACATGCTCATAGAGAGTTTATCCTTCTGAGTCTTGGTTCTACTCAGTGGTTTCTTCACATGCTCTTAGGGAGTTGTTCCCAACAATATCTCTCTTGACGATGCTCATTACGGGACTTGACCTGCGCAACTAGAGAAGCTGCTATAGGACCATGTCTATTGTAATGAAAAAAACACTATGCATATAATATTGAATTAAAAAGGGATGGATAAAAAATGAAATAACAGTAGCAGAGTAAAACTGAGTATCAATAGAGTACTATAATGATAGGTACGTGGGCCTCATTAAGTTCTACCACCACTCCAGCTGTGTCTTTGTTCACCCAGATATCAGCAAAGTGCTCAGAGCAATATTTCAGTGATTCAAAGGCCAAGTCTGGTTGTGTGCTGTATTCTCTGTTTGTTGTTGTTTGGAAGTTTTGGGAAAGTTTTGGCCCTTTAGTGTCTGCCACCTAAATTACAGCCCTGTTCATGCTGGTTCAACCCTGTTATGGCACAGTACAATTTTCATGTCGGCTTTTTAGCCTCCAGCTCACAAAGCTGCTATGGCTCAGCCTGATGTATGTGTATATGTTTGTGTGGGTGAGGGATTCTGAGCACTTCAAAGCTGTCAGAGCCATTTCTCCCAGCCCAAGACCTGAAGGAAAGAGTGAGAGAGGGTGTGCAGAGGGTGAGTGAAAGAGATGGAGGGAGCAGTGAAACATAAAGGAGAGACAGACAGGCTACAATGTTGTCAGAATGAGAAAGAGAGAGAGAGAAGTAGATGGTCTGTGAGATTAGAAATATCAAGAAGTCGAAGTGGGCCGCATACCAGCTGAAATTCTGCCGCAGGTGTGAGATTTGACATAACAGTTATGCTGGTACGCCACAAAGAAGCACCTAACATTAGACTTTTTGGCCAAATAGGTCAGCTAGGGGTGTTTCCACCATGTTTTAAATAAAAATGAAAATGAAAAGCAATAGATGCTCAGCATCTAATAGATGGTCACCCCCTGCTGCCAGTCCGTTGCATCTAAAGAAGTCCACTTTGTTTTGAGGCAGCTGACATAAAGCAATGGCTGGACTTTAGGCGTCAGCCTTAGCCTAACATGGACACAGAGCTCTTCCATTTACTGTCTAAAATGTGCATTTCAAATTGCTTTACTTGAATATATATACCGTTTTGGAGATACTTTTTAGACAGCAATGATATGCATCCCTTGATATGTACTGAAATCTTAATAATGCCGTGATATACCCACCACTATGAAGAAGAGAAATTAAGAAAGAAATGCAAGGACGACTGGGAGAAAAAGAAAAAATCAAGTTTTACTCCTCGTTACAGAACAGGAGTGAATTCTTCAGGTTTGTCTCTGAAGTTCTGAACAGGCAGCAGGTGCTCTGTCAATATAGGGGAAGTTAAAGAGAATGAGCAATAAGTCTGACATGAAGATAAATCAATAGCCATCTTACCTGTGTCTCGTGTAAAAAGAAGAGAGGAGTGGACAGCAGAATGGGCCGAGTTTGGCTCGGGAGGCTGATTGAGCCCCTCTGTAGCCTAAAGATATTACACGGGCCCCAGGGCACACAGCTGCTATATTGCATTTGAGCAGTGAGCTATAGGGAACACTCAGGACAGAGATGGCCTGTATTAAATTCCAGTGGGGCTGTAGACTCTTTGGCATTTGCGCCAATTGCTCTTAGTTTAGGTCTTCATGTCTGCTCAAGCAACTAAGCAAGGGGCCAGAGAATGAGGGTCTTTTTACAAAATCTAAGATCTTCCAACCTTTGTAAACAGAGCTTTTAAAGCAGTCAGTGGAGTCCAAGTTGCCTTTCTTCACAATGTCTTGAATGACCTAATGCATTTCTGACCTCGCCATTCATCCTTTGCCATCTCTGTCCCTCATGACAGTTTTTCCACTAGGGGGCACTATCTGAATGCCTACCCATCAGGAGACAGTACTCAAACCCCATTCTAGAACCATATCAGATGTATTATATACAGAAAACTATATACTGTAAGGATGAATTAAATACATACATGACCCTCGGTCTCCACAGAGGGTCTCTCATTTACCTGCCATCTTTTGTGGAAACAACTATCAAAACTAGGCTTCGAGGTGCATCCTATCAGAATAAAGTGTATAGCATAAGGGGGTAGGGCTTGTGCTATACATGCACCCATGCTGAAATGACAGCTATTTTTATGAGGAGCTTATAAATTGTAGGGGTGGCAGTGGTGTTATTTGGATCTTATGCACTTGTAAAGAAGGTCCAATGAAAATGACTTTCAATGAACTAAAATTGACATTGTCATTTGCTTGTTTACTGGATATTATAAGCCCAAAATGTAGATGCTCTCAGGGCATGCCGCTAGCACTAACATTAACCCAACTGTTTACATTATACTACCCATTTTAGACTACCCAGTTGTTAAAATGATAAATAATGAAAATATCATCTTACAGGTTGTGAAGGATCCATCTGAAAACAGTTGGATGAGATAAATGAATAGGAATTAAATAGATGCCAGGTCTGTCTCTGTAGTGTTGATGGAAGCTAACTGGTGAAGTATTTTGTTCAGAAATTGGATATTTCTGGGAGTCATGATTGTACAGCTGTGTCTGTACCTGTAGAAGGGGCCAAATGAAGATTTTAGGAGGCAGAGTCAGCAACTTTGGCCTCTGCGTTGGACCCGCTGCAGTT